TCTAGTCCTTCCTGGAAGAACGTGCCTGCTTGGGATAACTTTTCAGGTCCAGTGGTCAAAGATCAATGGGTCACTATAAATAGAAAATCTGTTTAATGCACTAATGCACAATATCTTGATTTCTCTTGGGCTCATTACACTCTTGACTTTATACAGTGCTTCCTCAAAGAAAGTGCCTGCTTGGGATAACTTTCCAGGCCCGGGTGTTAGGTCTCTATCACTGTTACTATATGAATAGAGAATCAGTTTATAAAATGCACTACTTATATTTTGAGTTCTGTTGGGCTGATTACTCTTAAGACTTTATCCATTGCTTTTATAAAAAAAAAAAAAAAAAAAAACTTGCTTTCACTAGTGTTTGCTACATGTATACCTAACCACAGTTTCTTTTAAATCTTCAATAAACATAATTATGGAGAATAGTCACGGCGGCATTTAAAATATATATATATATAAATCTTATTACCGGTTAGCTTGCAATAATAATAATAATGATAATATACAACATTTATATAGCGCCCTATATAATTTGTAAAATAACTCTTAAGGCGGTTTACAACATATGGATAATAGTAATGGTGATAATTGTGAAAACAAACAACAAAGGCTTGCAGTCACTGTCATACATTTAACAAGCAATGTGCACATTTACATGACGTCTTTGCAAAGATTCTAAAAAGCAGACGTGAAGAGGTGAGTTTTTATGTCCCTCTTGAACTTGGCTAGGGTATTTGACTTCCTAATAGCAGATGGTAAGCTACTCACATCGTAGCCGAAAACCTCCCAAAGCATTTGATTCCGTAGGTCACAGTACGAGATTTGGGACACACAAAGATTCTGACTCCGACCGCAGTGATCTTGACGGCTGATACAGGGTAACAAGCTCCTGTAGGTACTGAGGAGCTGTTCCATTCATTGCCTTGTATGTGTATACCAGAATTTTGTACTGCGGCCTGTATCGTACAGGTAACCAGTGCAACGAATAAAGCGCAGGTGTGATGTGCTCTCTCTTTCGAGTACGAGTAACTAGCCGTGCTGCAGTGTTCTGGACCCTCTGCAGACGACTTGTTAGTTTGTCAGATATACCACAGAGCAGGGCGTTACCATAATCTAACCGAGAGGTAATAGGTTAATGCACCAAAATCTTGCATGCATCTGCAGTTAGAAACTGCCGAATACAGCCGATGTTCCTGATCTGGTAGTAACAGGATTTGGCAATAGCGTTCACTTGTTTCTCCAT